GTGTGTGTGTGTGTGTGTGTGTGTGTGTGTGTGTGTGTGTGTGTGTGCAGCATCTGAGGAGACAGGAAAACCACCCAGAGTGTCAGCCGATCTTCAGGGAGCTCCTGCCTTTCATTTGCAACAGTTTCCCCTCGCCTGGACTTTGCCACAGAGCGGTCCCAAGCCTCCAGGATCTGGCTGTCTCTCGCCCCATCTCACACGCTGAGTCTGCAAGTGTGAGCCACCATTGTTGTGTGGGCCCTGAAGATCCAAATCCAGGCTTGCATGGTATGTGCTTGTCTGACCACCACACCAGGATCCTTTGTTGTACAATTTGGTTACACTAGTTTCTCTAGGGATTGTATTCTCTGTTCTCCTTATTTCACTGTGCATGCATAGTTAATGAGAGGCCCTCTGACACAGCCAAGAAAGCACAGGGGCTGGTAGAGGCCAAACTGTCTAGGAGAACACAGGACACTAAAGAGAGAGGAATGGGTGGGAAAGGAGAGGGGCATTATAGGATATATGTTCAAAGCACATTAATGCTTATATGCAAATATCTTATTAACTCAGTACTAGCATAGTGAAAAAATAGAATACTGTAATAAAAATATTTAAAATGATTTTAATGTTATGCCTTCTCTAGGAGACATTCTTTGCCATAATTGCTTTATATTTCATTTATTTTTCATGAATGGAGGAGTGCTCGTGTGCCACAAAGTGTGTGTGGAGAGCACAGAAGAGCTTCCAGGACCTGGTTCTCAGCAGAAGTCCCGAAAAGAAGCGCCACAGACACAGGTGGAAGCAATCCATCAACTTCCTTGGCTTAGAGGAGTTTCTTCACTCCACTGCAGCCAACTTCCCTCCCTTCCGAGGAGCCAGGTCCTGGCCAGGTTCCATCCTATTTAATAAGAGGGCATTTTGTTCTTCTGTTTTGGTTTATGATAACAATTCTAACAGCTGTTTAGTATAAATAAAGAGACTACAACTTTAAAGAGTGTATTTCATGTCCTTTACACCCAGGAAGCAAAGCCTGTGTATAAGATGTAACCAGATCAATTGTCCTGACTCTAGGAGGGACTAGCAAAGCAAACATCAATTTGCTTGAAGGATGCCTCGATGGCTGGCGGCCAATGAGATTAAGTCACAGATGCCCCAATTTAATAATCCACCCGCTTCATGCAGCATTCTCTGCGAGCTCATCTCTCCAGGTTTGATGTCTTCAGTGGCATTGCTAACCTGTCTGAGGATGTGTGCTGGAGCTGAGGTCTGTGAGGAGCCACACACACTCCTTGGGCTGTTGGCTCCTTCTCCATCTTCGGGAAGCTGTCACCATCACACAGCATCTGCTGAAACAGCCACCTTGGCTTCTCCCAGGGCACCTTCTGATTTCTGGTGGCGATGCCACTGTCTAACTCTTCCAGCGGCATCACCTGGGACACTGTTGGAATTCCAGGCCTGGCCACTGTCCATCGGAATCTGTCAGCCATCCCTGTCGCAGCTCTAGAGCCAGCTCCAGGTGTCTCTACAAACCCCAGCAGCCCGGGGTGCTCAGGCTCTCAGCTTCCATCACTTCCTGCACCTCGAGCTGTATCTTTAGTTTGCAGGCTCTTGTTCTCCTCGCTTACTGTGTTCTCAGGCCTGGGCTTCTCTCTGCTTTTGTGCCCTGTGCTTTTGTTCACCTCGGGAGCCTTATTGTTCACCATTGTCACTTCCTGTGGTGTCAGTGTCATTTCCCCTTGCCAAACCGACCTGCCCTTATCATCTCAGATGAAAACACAGACAAGTTGGAGGAACACGATGAGTGTGTTCCTCCCTGGTGAAGGGCTTGCTGCTGCCTGTGCACAAGCCCCACGCTGTGGTGACAGGCCCTGTGCTACTAAACTGACTGTTAATGTTCCCTTCCCCCAGCTTGGTGAGCACCTCCTGTGTCCTGCTCCCAGCTTTGTTCCCAGAGCCTTAGGCTACCAGGAACAGAGTAAGTTCCAAATGTCACTAATGACTCAGGCTCCCTGGTCACTTAGGCAGGGCATCTGCCATTTGCGGGTGACTCACTGGGGCCCCCTCTCTCATGGGCTGCCATATCCTTCCTTCTGCTTTCAAACCTCACTCCTGCTTTGTTTGGCCTTAGAAAACGTCTCCTGCCCTGCTGCTGCTCACAGGAGCCAGCTCAGTGGCCGACAACTGTTTGTAAAAGCCTTGCATGGTGGGATCACCTACATTCCCCTCCTGCAGGCCCCGGGGCCTGGCAGCCTCGCCCTGCCTACCTTGTCCTCCTGACTCTGGGTAGGGATGAGGTGACTGCCTTGGTCAGAGGAGCACTGCTGGGGCCAAAGTCCTGGATGCCATCTCCTGCTCATAGTTTCCTTGTCAAAGCAAAGGGTCATAGCTGCCACCCTGGTGTCTGCCATGTTGAAGGTTCCTCCTTTCCGTACAGCTGGGTCACATCCTCCTGTACCTGGCCTCTGAGCACAGTGGCTGTCTGAAACCCAGCAGAGATACTGGCCTCTACAGGAACCCTGCTTTCCTGCAGGGAACTCCAGTTTGCTGGCCTGATACACTTTCTAGTACCCCATGTAAATGCTCCTAGCTGGCTTTCAATATTCTCTGCATACACTCACTCCCATATATTCTGGGCCTCAGACTGGCCCTCTGAGGCCCAGAAACCACCTCCATTTCTATCACTTTCCACCCGCCCCTTTACAAAGTCTGTTTCTAACTCTAGAGCCCAACTCAGCTGCAATCAAACAACAGGCCGTGCTGGGCATGTTGCTCTAAAGCAGCTGCCAGCAGGCACTGCTTGCCATAGGGGCCTCTGGACACACTTTGCCTGTCTTCCCCAACCTCCACCGGGCCAGCCTTGTCCCTTGCAGACAAAAGAAATGGGTCGACCTGCTGAGTGTCCCCACAGAGCAGATGCAGAGATCCACAGACTCAGCGTGGGGCAGGCTGATGAACCCTGGGGCAATGTGGGCTGGTCCATGGGTGCGGCACCTCTGCCCAGGCCAGAACAAGGGCAACTCTCTCCTGGCACCAAAATGCCCTTGGAATGCAAGGGGGTAGCATGAGGTGCCCGCTAGTAAAAATGATATGCTAAACTTCGATGACAGTAAAAAATTGTAAAGTAATTCATCAGTTTTATGTTGCTAATGCTTAAACAATATTAAGTAAAATGCTATTAAAACTAATTTCACCAGCTTCTTTTTGCTTTTTTCTCCACAATGCTTGCCCAGGCTTGACCCCAGTGCCTTGAATGTATTGTGCAAATGCTCTGCAACTGAACTACATGTTCTGGTTTTTTTTTAAAGTCTGTAGATTCTAGAAAGTTCTACATGGCTCTGTTTGTAATTCACTGTCCAATACGTCATTAGACAATGTTATATGTTCCTATGACTATTTTTGGCTCCTAAAATGTGGACCCAGAAAGAGTTCGATTTCCCAGGTAACACAGGGCAGTGAGAGCCGGTGCTCTGCCTCCTGGGTCGTGTGGGCTTCACAGCTTGTGGAGGTGTGCCAGCCGGAGGGTGGCACTGGTGGCTGTCCACTTTAGAGGACTCGGGCTCTCAGCCTCAGCTCACTCCCATGCAGACGCCCACGGCCCCGCTCAGAGCTGCCTGTCTCCACCCATTTGCTATTCCGACAGCACAGCCAGACGTCTGCAGGGCAGGAGCTGCTCACAAACAATCAATAGTCCGACAGGACACTCTGCACGACCCAAACCCAATTATGTTGTTCGGAAACTTGTCTGGAACTAAAAGGCATCTGAGAAATCACTGTCACCATCTCTGAGGGGGAGAGAGAGCTGGTCATCATGTGCAATTGGATTTCTATTAACTGTGGTCTAGGATTTGGGCACAGCAGGGCCATGCAGACACACACGCACACATACATGAGCACAGTTCTCATTTGCTGGGACATTTGGGAAATGTCACCCTCCTCACATATGGCCTGAGATTCTGTGATGAACAGGTGGACTTCCTGAGCTTCCTCCTAAAGTTCTACCTTCTGTTTCTGTCTCTGGCCTGTACTCCGAATAAGCCTAGGCTGGCCTGGAACTCACTGTGTGGACCACACAGGCCTTGAACTCCTGGCAAGCCTCCTGCCTCTGCCTCCCAACCCTGGAATTACAAATAAACACTTCACCTGGTTCCATCTTAAACATTTAGATTTCACAGCCCAGATCCTCAGAGACACACAGACTTCAAATGAATCCTCCAAGAGACCTGCTGTCTCCTTTGAGCCCAGATTCTTAGCAAAATCCCCATGTGAGCGAAGGCACTTCACACGAGAGATCGCTTGGGAGTCCCTGAAGGTGTCTGTGCATCAGACATGAGACTTCCGAGTCACAGTGTGGCAACCCGGGAGCCTCCAGGCCACCTGAATGGGAGGATGGCCACCTGCAGCGGGGACCAGGGACTGCTGGACAAACCCAGGAAAGATGGGAAACTGGAGTGAGCCCAGAGCTAGCCAGTTTCAGCGAACGCAGCCACTCATTGGAAAGGCTCACAGGCCATCACAGAATACAGACAGGTGAGGTCTGGACAGACCCCGCCCCCCAGCTCAGCAGGGGTGAGGGCTGCTCACACTGGGGAGCTGAGCAGTGAATGTGTGAGAGGGCGTGGGAGCATCGCCTGCTGCCTCCCAACAGTGATTGTGAAGGCTTATCTGCAGCAGAGTCCTGTGAGGCTCTCTGTATTTTCATGTGAGATAGGCTATACATACAGAACACATTCAGCAAACACATCTGCACCAAGTGAAGAATTGTGCAAGCTCTAACCTCCCGCAAAAGCCCCATGGGGCCCTCAGGGCACCCCCTTACCATAGTCCCATTGTGACTAGTCCTGTCTTGCACCCATGAATTTTGCCAATGCTATACTGTTATGGCAAACCATCCAATAATTAAAATTTTATTTTTATTGTGCTTTTTCAAGTACAAAATGTTAGATGTTGGTAGCAAAGGTCTCACTTTCACAGGCCTGGGCAGGCGGGGCGGTGAGCCTCAGTAGTAGGCACACTTGCTTTGGCTTCACAGGACCTGGCTTCCATCCTAAGTATCATAAAATCAATCAATAAAAATTGTTTGGGCCAGCAAAATGGCTCAGGGGCAAACTTGCTTGTAGTTCAAGCTTGGACACCTGAGCTCTGTTCCCTGGAACACATGGCGGAGAAAGAACTGACTCCAGAAAGTTGTTCTCTGACCTCTGCCTATGTGCTGTGTCACACATGCATACGCACACCATGCAAAGTGAACAATTGATTTCCCTTTCAGTGAATTGGAACCCTGCACTGGCCTCATTACCTTGCTCCCGTGACAGAAGTCCCTCACAGTGAGCTATCCCCAAGACCACACCCAGGCTCTGCAAGGGTCAGAGACAATGAGGAGCCACACACTGCGTCAGAGAGCAGGCAGCCTGCCTCGGTGGAGACAGCCGTTCCAAAGGCTTGTCTCCCAAAGTCCTGAGCTGTGACTTGGGGGTTGGGAGGTGCTGAGCTCAGGGCCTGGCCCCCTCTACCCAATAGGCAGCCACTTCTCCTCCTCCCTTGAGCTCCAGGGTTTTGTCCTCTACTGAAGAGGTGATGGCTCAGACCATGTCCAGTGCTGGGGACGTGGCTCGGTGGCTGCGGTGTAGGCCAGGCTCGCCAGAGCCCTGGTTCAGTCCCCAGCACCCCCTTAGAAGCACAGCTCTGTACTCTCGGCCGCTCTGGAGGCAAAACCTGTAGGATCAGACTCTTCTGCGTCCTCCTCGGAGTCGGCCAGCTCAGGGTGCGCCTGGGCTACACTAGACACTGTCTCCAAACAACAACAGGACATGTAGATGTGACCCTGTCACAAGGGCCAGTGTACAGGTCCGAGCCCCCGGCCCCACTGTGGCTGTGTTCTGGCTCACTGCCTGTGGTTTTAGAGCCCTGATCAGCTCGGCCTTGATGGTTCTTGAGCGGTGCTTCTCAACCTGTGGGTCTCCACCCCTTTGA